GTAAAATTAATTTTAAACAATTTCATATGTACCGATGTTAAATTGATTATAAATTAGGAGGTACCGATATTAAATATATTAAGAAAAGGGGGGTTGTTACAATTAAAATATATTATATTCAGAGAAATGGGTTATATAAATTTGATAGAGGTATTCAGTCGATAAAGTTTAAAACAAATAAAGGAATTAAAAGAGATTAATTAAATAATGAATTTTGATAATAAATTTGGATCATCATTAGTTGATGTACGGAAAGGCCAAAAGTGTTCGAAAATAGTGGAAGGAAACATTGCTAAAGTGCCACTGGAATTAACCCAACAGCAAGGGCTCGTGGTCAAGATAAAGTTAAAGGACGACTGAATAACATCAATGAAATTATACACAACAATAAATGAGTGGTAACTACCCTCTAGTCAAATAAATACAAATAAAAAACGGAAGAGTTACTCACCTCGATGGACAATCATGAAAACATCTTTGANACCAGACCCAGATAAAGTTAAAAGACGACTGAATAACATCTATGAAATTATACACAACAATAAATGAGTGGTAACTACCCTCTAGTCAAATAAATACAAATAAAAAACGGAAGAGTTACTCACCTCGATGGACAATCATGAAAACATCTTTGAGTTGTCGTGGTATTAACACACCGTAAAGAAAAAAAAACAGGGAGACAGATTCTCGATGAGCATTACATTTATTATATTTTTTTACAGGGGACAAACGAAATACCCTGAGTGAGAAGGGTATAGATAATCAATTTTGGTAAGAATTGGCCAAATTCATATATATAAAATGATAAGAGAGAAAGGGGGGGGGAAATGGCCCAAAAAATGTAGCTTTGGGGGGGTTTGGCATGGCTCACTGACCACGGAGGTCAGCTCACCAGCCACGCCGCAATCCCCGAGAGAAGTGTACTTGACAGTACCAAAAACGATAAAAATAATAATGGCGTCCCCTTAAGCGCGGGAAAATTCAAGTTATCTAGGAGAAGGAGGAGAGGACGACTGTGATTGGATCACAGGACGGGTAAAGCAAAACCAATCAATGTAAATGAGTACTCCCACATCATACCAAATAAGGTGCCAAAGGGAAGAAGTCCCCAAAAAAAGGCGTGAACACCCCAAAAATTCTAAGAAAATCTAAAAATCCGGCTGGAACCAGAATCACCACGTGCAAAATTGAAGGTTACGTGAAAGTGATGGGAGAAGAAGTTAAGTGGTGACGTAAATTTAGAAAGTGAGGGAAAAGAATGTCGTCCTTGAGAAGGACAGTGGGGTCAGGCGACCTTGAATTGCAAAAGGTGAAAAAAGATGACACAAAAATGTGTTATTAACGTAAAAGTAAAAGAAACATTTCCAATTCTCTTCACAGAAAAAAAATAGGGATAAAAAATGAAAAGAGAAAAAAAAGGAAAAGTACAAATACTATCAACTATGAAAGATTAAATTAAATTTAAATTATTTACATAAAAAACCGTCACACAACACTGTGACATGTTCCTTTTATTTTTTATATGTTATTCTTTTTTACAAAATAGGTTAAAAAAAATATGTAGTGTTTTTTGACAATTATCAAAGTGTAACTCCGTAATCTAGAAATTTTGAGCCCAAAGCAAAACAAGGGAGCTCCTGGATCAAACCAGCTATCGTGGAGAACTTTTTAATGAAACTAACCCACATATGTGTTGGAGGGAGAGGAAAACTACGAAAACCTCCCGTGGTTAGCTCGACAACAAAGGGATTCTTATTCAAAATCCGTCGACTAATGAGGATATTTGACGTCAGCGCTGTGGTAGATGCTTGTTAAGCTGTTATTACCACTTGGGATGCTTGACTAATTGAGATTGTAGGAAGATAATGTACTTGTACAGGTACTAAAGCAATAAGTTTCTTCATGGCCCTCCAAAAAGTATATAGATCTAAGGTTTCACAGGATGCAAATAAAAAATGTACCACTATTCATAAAAATTTCAAAATAGTTGAATGTGTTACTATTAAAAAAGCAGTTCGAAAGAAATTACAAAAGCAATTCGGGGACTGGTAAACGCAACGAGCTAGTTCAACTTTTATTATTTTTTTTCCTTCTTCGTGTGTTTTTTTTTTTGCACTATATTTGTATCAAAATTAACACGATAATCTTAAATCATCCTTTCAACGGTAAGGTAAATACGAAGAATAATTTTAATACTTTTTTAGAAGACTATAAAATGAAATTGAGGCACATAAATACTGCCAAAAAAATGGAGAAAAGAAATATTTTAATGTCAGTTTCATAATAGATAAATCATTTTTATCTCATTTTTATCAATTTCATTATAGAACCACTCACTGATTCGAATAATCAAAGTGAATTGATTCGCATTACTTTGATGATTCGTTTTGCCCAACTCTAATTACTTTTAGTTTTTAACCATTTGCACATAAGGCAATCGAATGCAGTGTGAATGCTCCCTAAATCACATGTTAGGGCCAAATCACGATTTCTTCTTCTCGAGTAGCTAAAACCCAATTAAGAAAAATTAAGTTTCTTGTGTCACTCCTTTAAAAAATATTGAATGTATAAAATTTGTTACAAAAAAACTTCACCTTCATTTTTATTGTATCAAACTATAAAAAGAAGAAAATGTTCTGGATAGAGAACAGTATAAAGCTAAGATTAGGTAGCGCTAAGGCTCAAAATTCATCGCAAAACGTCCTAGTTATCGCTGCCAAATTATTTTTACCCCTAAACTTAAAAACCCTCGACTTCAAGTATTATTTTGCTTGTAGTGTTTACAATTAGTAGCATTCCTCCAATTTATCTGCAAACGAATTTAGACTAGCAAACAAATTGGACAACTACAAACGAATTACAAAAACTTCACAAGCATGCTATTATGCAAGCTGAAAATGAATAAACGGTGATATTTCACCTAAATATAGCCATATAAGAAATAACACTCGGAACAAAACAAAACTTACGCTTTATTTATGTCATGATATTAAACTTAAATCAAATCTTAAATCAGTTTATTTAAGGCTCACAATCTTTTAGAATTTATAAATTACAAAAATTATAATTGTTTAAAGATATCAAATGAGGTTTCATTGTTTTTCTTACAACAAAAGGAGATTTAAGTTAACTAAAATCTTGTCTCCTAATCTACGTCGAGGTTTCAATTCCAGACCATGAAATAGGTACATATTTATAATGTAACTTAATATAAATTATTTTATCAATAATATAAATTCTACACTGGATAATAAATATGAATTATACATATTATAAATTTACATATTTAACAAACATATTTAGCTAGCATACTTTAAACTTATAATTTATAAATTGAATACTTATTTTACAGCTATTTATTTATCTAAGTGTTTCATACTTAAAATTTATTAAGTGTTGATCATGAATAGGTGTTTGTAATTTAAGTTTTTATAAAAAAATATGAAATGTTAATAAATTAGATTTTTTCCATTATAAGGATTATACTTTTTATTATTTAGTAATTTTTTTTATTACCGGTTTTAAACAGCTAATCCGATTATCTGACTCGATGTTACAACCAGAGAAATATTATCTTCCAGAGATATATTATCTTCCAGAGACATATTATCTTCTACAATATATCTCTGGATGGAAGATAATTAATTGATTGATTGATTTCTTCATTTCAGACGCTATCAATGCGGTGCGTTATTACTTTTTCCTTCAAATTCACTAAGCTGCAGTTTTTCATTTTTCGCAACAGATCAGAGCTCTTGAGTTGAGTGGTATTGCTCATGGAGGAGAATGCAACACCTCATGTAGTAACAAATACGAAAGTCTAGAATAGGTAAAGTTAGATATTTTTACCTAGAATACTATCAAACTTGCAGCCTTTTCTTGAATTAAGAAAAAGTTGTAAGTTTGATAGGTAAAATGGTTTCTATTTAGACGATTTCTCGAAAATGATTTTATAGTTCAAGCATGCATGTTATTGGCAATAATACGAGGAAGAATACCTTGTATTGCATTTTGTCATACCATTGCATGCTTCAAATGATTTAAAACTTCCTTTTGAAAAAGCATGATAAAACTCACTTTAAGAAAGTCCTTTATTTATTCGCGAAGTTACGGGATTGAATGTTTGAACTTTTGAGCTCAAAGGATCCTTCAATCGAAGATAAAACGTGAGCGAAAATCGAACGGTCGTCATTAATAATTTAAGAGTCTTTTTTAATTATAATTTAGGAATAAAATAACATAGACTCATGATCTAGATCAAAAAATTAAAATTCCATATTTTTCTAACTACTTCAATTTCTTAAAACGATAAATTTAAAATAGTTAATGTTTTATGCATATGCTTAAGATTGATTTCGAAAAGGTAAGGAAAAAAAAACGTTGCTGAAAATAAAAGAGACTGACTTATCATTATATAAGGAATCACTTCAGTAAACTAATTATAGGAGTTATTAAAAGTGCTTTTGTCAAGCCATTGTTAGTTATTTGCTGTTTTGCAATAATCGTGATAAAATTTAATTATTTCAAAATAATTATGGATATCATTTAGTTAGGTCGCTTATGCTGTAGTTTGAAAATAGAAGAAAAAATATTTGAGTTAAAGATACTAAAGATATGAAATACCGTAACTTTTGTTTAAGAATTTGAAAGCAGAAAAATTTGAAAGCAAAAATCATTGTTCAATTAAAATTTCTTAGGTGTGTTTGAAGGTTAAATGACGGGAAACAACAAAACTATCTTTTTGTAAATGAACAATGTATTACTGAACATAAAACTTAAAATTCCAAAAAGTAGAAAGAAAGTTTGGTTGAGGAAAAAAGAAGAAAGATTTCCTTTTCACTTTTCTTCCAAATATGTATGTAGATTATTTTAACCCATTACAAATTTCTCAAAACAATGCCTTATATATCATCAAAAAAGTAAACAAATCTTTGTCAACTCTCACTTTACCATAATCCATTTCATGTATATTTATGATCTTTGTTTTCGCTTCTACTTTCACTTCAATTGCTGAATTAGCACCTTTTCTTGAGATTTCTAGGTGACCAACTTTAGGTTGAATTGACTTTCAAGACCTCCGCGAGGGTCGGATATCGCATTATTGAATCCATAACTAAGTCACAGCGACATGATTCTCAGATATATAAACAATGGCACTTCCTGCTTAAGCTTGTTTTGCTGTAGTGAGACGAGGAATGAGATGTCTCTTTTGGAGCAATTTGTAGCACTAACCTTAGGCTTTTGTGTGTTCCATACTAGTTCAGCTCCAGTTCCTGGCGAGAAGCAGATGGGCATACCAGATTCTGCTTCTGCTGAAGATGATCCACCCTATCCGTATGTTTTTGGTTACCAATCTGAAGACGGTCTTGGAAACAGCCAACATCGCCATGAAGAATCTGATGGTACTGGAATAATTAAGGGAAGTTACGGTTACAAAGACATGGAAGGTATATATCGAACTGTTAATTACACTGCCGACATTAATGGATATCGTGTCGTGATTCAGTCTAATGAACCAGGCGTCGAAGCTTTGAATAATGGTGACGCTGTCATAGTAGTGTCTTCCGATCCAAATGTGTCACCGAATGCTGTGACTTCGAACAGGCCAGGGAAGTGAATGTGTGAAATTCTTTGATCGAACGTTGTTATGGGATTCCATTCAGTTCAGGATGCTGCCTACCATGTTGATGATTAAACTATAATTTTTGAATTGAAAATTAGCTACAGAAAATTTTAAAAGGTAAAGGGTAACTAATTGGGGCATCTTGAGATTATGTTTATGGCAATACATACGTGGTTGCGATTTTTATGCATCATATAGTTTGATGTAATTGCATGTAATTACAATAACTTTCTTACAAAATACTATTTTTCCTGTATAGTATTAATTTTGAATCTATCTGTGATAGTGGTGTTTTTTTCCCGTTTATTTTAATAATTATTATTTTCTTTAAGGAAATAGTCTTGAACTGGAACTTTCAGATCCACTTTAATTATGTCTACTTTAATCCAGTTTAATTAAGTTAATTCACTACTCCGTACTTTAAAAGATTCTTTTAGTGAATAAATTCGTTTTATTATCATTTGTTTCAAATTAGTATAAATTTAATTTGGATATAAAATAAAATAGTTTGTAAATTTTTTTTAAATCCAATTTTATATTAAATAGAAAAACTACATCTGATGATGCTCTGTGAAGTTAAATAACGGTAAGGAAAAGGTGATTCGTTGAAACGAAGTTTTTTTCCACAGTGTGACTCATTTTTACTGTAATAACTCTCGGGGAGAAATGATTTTTCACGTTATTGATTTGTTAATATTTAGTAATCCTCAAAATACTAAAGGTCCTCATTTTTGTAAAAAGAGGAACATAAATCATTTTTCCACCTGGTTTACACTTGTTTTAAACTTTTATTATAAATTAAGTTTTGTATTGCGAATCTTATTTATATTTATAAATTTAATTTAGTTTGCAATTTTTATATAATTTGGAAATTCATAACGTTTTAATTCACAAATAATAACTAAATTACTATTAAATTAATCATTAAATAATAAATTTTTCGATAAAAATTATCAAAGCTTATTAATTAAAGCTTTAATAACTATTTAAAAAAATATAAGAAAATTTATCAGAAAATAAAATCCATAAGAAAATTTACAATTACTTACAAATTACTAATTGTTATTAGTAAATTTAAAATTGCTAACTATTATTTAAAAAAGGAAAAAATATAATCAGCTAGTGTAAAATTGTAAATAAAGCCATGCTGACAAAATAAATAAATAAAAATGAAATTACGTAAAAGAATAATTTCTGATAAGTTCAAAAAATAACTTTATGTAAGAAATTATGTTTTCAAGTATGTGATTTTTATTTTTAACTTATAATCTTCCATTATGTTGTTTTATAGCTGTACAAGATTCTAAATAATTTTCGAAACTAAATGCTAAACTCAAGTTCTTCATGAAAATTTTTCTATCTATCAGGAAATTTCAATTTTTTCTGAATATGTTCATTTGGCAAAGTGAGCTTACGAAATGTTATATATATATATTAAAAGGTTTATGAAGATAAAAAGATTTAAACAATAGTAGAGTTCGTGGAGTAAAGCAGGCAATGACAATTCTTATTACTTGCATTTATTATAATTGTATTTACTATATTGCATTTATAATAATTGTGATCAATATAATTAATTGCATTAATTACAACTGTGATTTCTTTTAAATACCTAAAATGCCTATTAATTAGCATTTGAATATATTTATGGCTATCATGCTACAAAAATAATTGATAGTCATTGTATACAGTACAGGGTTATCATTATAATAATTTTAATACTTAAATATTTTAATGTTGCAAGGTAAAAGCAATAATTCATTCTTTTTAACAAAAATTCCTTTTGTTTTATCAGCATTTTTCTGTTATATGACTATTTACGTAATTGGCAGAACTTTTAAGTTGATATGCTGTCTTTGAGTCGAAGCAGTCTTGATTTTTATACGTGCTTTTATTTATACTTTTCTTATTTTATCTTTGTATTGAAAATTTATGACAGGAAAAACTTCCTTTTTATTAATTATTATTATTGGTTAGTTTCATTTTTCAGTACACACATGATTGTACTTATCAAACCTTATTCAGTATATTATCAGCAGAACAGCAAATTTTGCTATGCAATTTTGTCATAAAAAATACATTCTCTAAACACATCTTCCGACCCTTTAAAATAATTTATTAAAAGTATTATTTTCCTGAAAATTCAGTTTCAACTATGCAGTTTCAACAATATTTATTTTATCGGAGCACAATTTATTCATTACATTTCTAATGTAAACTAATCTTAAAATAAAATTTTGTTCAAGTGAAGAATCATGAAGTTTATGCAACGTATTTCAAAGGTAAATGCATTAAAGTCAGAAAAGCATTTTAAATATTTCCATTTAAATCTAAGACATTATTTGATCAGTATATATTTGAACAGCTCTTTGAATTATATATTTGAATAGCTCTTTGAAATATGTATAAAATGATTACTTATAATTCTTAATAATATTCAATAACTGAGAAGGAATTTCTAATTCGCTTTCACTTTAAACTGAAATATTTCTAAGTTATATGCTTTGAAGGAGTATATTTGCTTGGAGTATCAAAGATTCTGATTTTCTAAATTAGGAGTAAATTTATAGTAAATTTAAATATTTTATATCAAATATTTGAATAATATTTCTTTGATTCAATTTAAATNATGACTCATCTTTACTGAGTAATAACTCTCGAGGAGAAACAAATTTTCACGTTATTGATTTGTCGAAATTTAGTAATCCTCAAAATATTACAGGTGGCGATCAAATCCTCATTTTTTGTGAAAAAAGGGATATAAATCATTCTTCCACCATGGTTTACAGTTGTTTTAAACTTTTATTATAAATAAAATTTTGTATTGCGAATTTTATTTCTATTTATAAATTTAACTTAGTTTCCAATTTTTATAAAATTTGGAAATTCATAATGTTTTAATTTCCAAATAATAACTAAATTATTAATAAATTAATCATTAAATAATAAACTTTTCGATAAAAATTATTATGTTACTTAATTAAAGCTTTACTAACTATTGAAAAAAATGTAAGAAAATTTATCAGAAAATAAAATTTATAAGAAAATTTACAATTACTTACAAATTACTAATTGTTATTAGCAAATTCAAAATTGTTAACTATTATTTAAAAACGGAAAAAATATAACCAGCTAGTGTAAAATTGTAAATAAAGCCATGCTGATAAAATAAATAAATAAATAAATAAATAAATAAATAAAAATGAAAATACGTAAAAGAATAATTTCTGATAAGTTCAAAAAATAACTTTATGTAAGGAATTATGTTTTCAAGTATGTGATTTTCATTTTTAACTTATAATCTTCCATTATGTTGTTTTATAGCTGTACAAGATTCTAAATAATTTTCGAAACTAAATGCTAAACTCAAGTTCTTCATGAAATGTTTTTTATCTATCAGGAATTTTCAATTTTTTCTGAATATGTACATTTGGCAAAGTGAACTTACGAAATGTTATATATATATATATTGAAAGGTTTATGAAGATAAAAAGATTTAAACAATAGTAGAGTTCGTGGAGTAAAGCAAGCAATGACAATTCTTATTACTTGCATTTATTATAATTGTGATCAATATAATTAATTGCATTAATTACAACTGTGATCTCTTTTAAATACCTAAAATGTCTATTATTAGCATTTGAATATATTTATGGCTATCATGCTACAAAAATAATTGATAGTTATTGTACACAGTACATGGTTATCATTATAATAATTTTAATACTTAAATATTTTAATGTTGCAAGGTAAAAGCAATAATTCATTCTTTTTAACAAAAATTCCTTTTGTTTTATCAGCATTTTTCTGTTATATGACTATTTACGTAATTGGCAGAACTTTTAAGTTGATATGCTGTCTTTGAGTCGAAGCAGCCTTGATTTTTATATGTGTTTTTATTTATACATTTCTTATTTTATCTTTGTATTGAAAATTGATGACAGGAAAAAGTTCCCTTTTATTAATTATTATTATTGGTTAATTTCATTTTTCAGTGCACACATGATTGTAATTATCAAACCTTATTCAGTATATTATCAGCAGAACAGCAAATTTTGCTATGCAATTTTGTCATAAAAAATACATTCTCTAAACACATCTTCCGACCCTTTAAAATAATTTATTAAAAGTATTATTTTCCAGAAAATTCAGTTTCAACTATGCAGTTTCAACAATATTTATTTTATCGGAGCACAATTTATTCATTACATTTCTAATGTAAACTAATCTTAAAATAAAATTTTGTTCAAGTGAAGAATCATGAAGTTTATGCAACGTATTTCAAAGGTAAATGCATTAAAGTCAGAAAAGCATTTTAAATATTTCCATTTAAATCTAAGACATTATTTGATCAGTATATATTTGAACAGCTCTTTGAATTATATATTTGAATAGCTCTTTGAAATATGTATAAAATGATTACTTATAATTCTTAATAATATTCAATAACTGAGAAGGAATTTCTAATTCGCTTTCACTTTAAACTGAAATATTTCTAAGTTATATGCTTTGAAGGAGTATATTTGCTTGGAGTATCAAAGATTCTGATTTTCTAAATTAGGAGTAAATTTATAGTAAATTTAAATATTTTATATCAAATATTTGAATAATATTTCTTTGATTCAATTTAAATGTTTGCTGATTATATGAGGCCTGTAATTTAAAAAAATTGTGAATTATTAAAACTATAGCGTGACCGGGATTATAGTTGATTTCTATTTTTTATGGTTAAACTGAAATACAACAAAATGAAATTGAGAAAAAGACTGATTTTATTTGCTCAAAGTACATGGGAACATAATATATTAACCTGTGTTTATTTAAGTACAGAGAAAAGAATTCTGGTAAAATTACGTACCGCATGGTACTCACGTATCTAGTAGAAAAATTATAATTCTGGTTATTAAATCCAAAATACATACTGTATTTAAATAATTTATTTGGTAATTTTTCGGTTCATATGGTAACAGTTTACCAGAAATTCTGATTTTCAAAATTATAGATCTTATAACCACACATTTAGTAAAAAAGACAAAACTGTAAAGTATATTTATTATTTATCATTATTTTATTATTTCTTTATTGTGAAACTGAAATATATACAAATGAGTTTTTAAAAAAAGCTAGATCTTCTTTGATCAAAGTGCATGGGAACATAATACATAAAACTGTGCTGAATTGCAAACGGCAAAAAAAAAATCTGTTAAAAATACTGTACTGTATGATAATGACATTTCATGTAAAAAAAAATAAACAACATAATCTACGCTATTTAAACCGTTAATTTAGTAATTTTTCCGTTCATATGGTAACGATTTACCAGAAATTCTCATTTTCAAAATTATAGTTCTTAACCGAATAAATGTTTTTTTTTTCTTGCCATGGTCAAAGGTATAATAAAATTACCAAACTTTACCATATTTACCAAATCATATATTATCACAACATATATTGTTGTTAATTTTATTAAAATTATTACAAAAGCGCTTCGGTAAAAATTTTAGAGCTTTTCGGTGTTCTCATAGAACCAGAAACACGGTAAATTTTACCATATTTTGGTAGTTTTAACCATACTTTTTTTCTCAGTGCATACGTTCAGTTTGTGTTTATTTACAAAAGTTTAATTAGTGCTTATTTATATATGTTCTGTGAATATATTATATAAAGCTGTGCTTAGTTACGCAAGTTCAGTTTGATGTAAATTTAGAGTGATTTGATTAGCGTAATAATAACTACTGTTCATTTGTAAATATTATCTTT